TCGGCCCACACGCCAGGGTGCCCGAAATCCGGCATTGCCCTCGCAGCATTGAAGAACGCGTTTTCTGACAAGTGCCCGAACGATCGAGCGCTTCGATTTTGAACAGCGTTTCAATTTATTAGTGACGAGGCTTGTAGGGACTCGAGAGGGCCGGGATGGAGGGTCCTACGCGTCGGATGCTTTCAGTTTCCCCATTCCGTCACCTTGTCTCCCCTGCCGCGTGTCCTTCCCCCTCCTCCTCGTCTCGTCCTCCATCGGTGCCACCTCCTCGTCTGGCCACCAGACTTGTCATCGGAGTGGGACGGGCGGTTCGCATGACATGTTCTGACGCGTCCTGATATTTCTGCACGCCCGAAATGGGTACGGAAAACATGGATACAATGCCCAACAGCAGTTCCGGTTCATTCTGAACAGGACTCGTTGTCGGTGTCGCCGCGGCGTGTGTCCATTTGAGACAGGAGGCCGCCTGCCCAACAGCGGCCGCTGTCGGTTTGGGACAACATTTGTTGTTGGGCAGTTTTCATCAGCCTCGAACTTTTCCCTTTCCCCAAGATTGGCACGCCACAAGGCGATGGCAATCTTAGGGATGCGCCCTGAAAAATTCAGGGAATCCCTAAGGTTGGCGTTGTGTCGCGGCGATGCCCAGCTTAGGGATAGGGATATGTCCCAGGCTGGTAAAGAAATTGTGCCCATTCTTTCCGTGCCCACTTCGGGCGTCCAAGATTTTGCACCTGGGAGTTTTTCCAGCAGCCGCTGGGCCGGATGGGCGGGCCGTTCTCAGAACTGGAGCTCGTCGCCCCTCTCGCCGCGCGGGCTCGCCTTATCCTGGCATCGTTCGAACGTGTGCATTTTTTCTCGGCGAGGGCCATCGAGGAGCATCCTTGATCATACGGTGAACAAAAAAAAAACGCACGAAACCGACAAAAAACACAGGGAATGGACGTCCGAACGATGGCCAGTTATGAACATCCTCGGCGGCCACGAGGACGGAAAGGGCCGTTTCCAAAGCGGAGCTCCTCGCTTCAGCCAGGGGGACGAAAAGTGGCATATACATAAAAGATTCGGATGTCCGCGCGGACCTCCGAGTTTTTATGTTCATGTCACATTTCGTTCCCCTATCAGCGATCTGCACATACTTTTTGCACACAGACGGATGCATTGTTGTATTCTACACATGTGTTGTTACACCACGGCGCTCTTCCGACCGACGCTCACAGTCGTTTTTTTGAGAAAACATTGTAACAGCTACAAGGATGGAGGGCGGTAGTTTAAAACATGGGGCTCTCGCCCTAGCGCCGCGCGTATTCGTCTCAACGCACTGCAGCAGATAAAGAGGTTGAGGGCAATGCCTGGTCAAACGAGGATGTCCCGTAACGCCGCCACCGCTACCTGGGTGGAGGATGATTCTTTTTTCGAAACAGGGCTCTCGCTTGAGTTCAAAAAGCGAGGAACCTGAATGTGTGCAGCAGCTTCACGGATGGAAGGCGGCTTCTTTTCAAAATCACTCGGCGCGCACGGCCACGAGCATACGTTTTTACAGCAGCTGCCCACATGGAGGGCTGCATATTTCAGAACGGGGATCTCGCTCGACACCTCTTTGAATGGTATTCCAGATTTCGTAATAAAAGGGAGGGGGTCTGGACCCTCCAAGACAAGCCATTTCAGACCTCCCCCGTGGGAGAACCCTCCAAAACATCGTCCCCAGACCCCCCCAGGCCCTCCAAGATAGCCTGGAAGAGACCCCCCCGAAATGAGACACCCCTCCCTTTATTACGAAATCTGGAGTATTCGTGCATGCCGTGTCCCGCTGTGGAAGGATACGAGGTGGCTCCTCTGCAAAAAACGGGGCTATCGCCTGAACGGCAAGCCCGTCTTGTGCTAGTATGCCAAGCGGGCGTTTTTTTTTGCTGCGAGAAGGAGGCCCGTCGGGGATGTGAGGAAGGGACTTGGCATGGCCGGCGGATGATTTGCAGCGTCGCTGATGCATATCAGGTTTACTCTTGTGTTCCTCCTCCTCCTCTTCCTCTTCATTATCGTCTCACTCGAACCAGTAGGTCCCTTGGCATTGCCTGCTCATCCCCCAGTCATCACCGCTGCCGCATTGGATCTCAAGGATCCTTTACTGCGCCCACTCTACATCGCTTTACACGCTATACATCCGTCTACGGAAAACAGTCCTTCACATCTACATCCTGATTTCTAGCATCTCTCCCGTCGAGTGGTCTAAGCCTCGTCTCTAGGCACGCTGAAAGTAGTGTGGTACGCCTTCGTGCTAAAGTGGGCTCTGAAGGTCCCCTTTGGACCGTGGGGTCCCGCAACTTCGCCCAATATTCGCATTGATGTAACCAACAACGTGTCTGTCATGGCTTGAGCGCACACCCCCTGCAGGGGCGGGCCATAGACCGGAGGACACATGCTGCCCAGGTCTCGCTTGCCCGACCTCCCCCTTCGCCACCATCGTTGCCCTCCTCCTCGTCCGCCTCCCTTTTCTGCTCAGCGCCCGTTCCCGCTCCCGCGGCCCTCCTCGCCCCTGCCCCCGCCCCAACGGCCCGCCCCCGCCCCAACGGCCCGCCCCCGCCCCAGCGGCTCGTCTGGCACGGACGTTCGGGCCCAAGCCGCCCCGCCCCCCCCCAGCGGCCCGCCAGGGCCTGCCCGCGGACGCCGCGGCCCCCCCTGCCGCAGCAGCGCCGCGCCTGCGCGCCCGGCACGGGCTGCGGCGCGCACATGGCGCGCGCCGCCTGGCTGCTGCTGCCCCTCTCCGCCGCGGCCTCGTGGACCGCCGAGCAGCTCCCGGACGCGGCGCGGGCGCCGTGCGGCCAGGGCTGCTTCGGAGGCCCAGAGGTCGGCCCCCGCAGCGATCCCTGGGGCGCGAGCGCACGGCGGGGGCGACGCATGGAGTGGGGGGGGGGAGAGGGGTGCTCTTCTCGGACCCCAGGGGCCCTCTTTGGGGCCCTCGAGGGCCCCTTGAAGGGGCCCTCGAGGGCCTCTTTTTGGCAGCCCCCGCTGCCCCCCATCTGTCGCCCCCCGAGGTAGTCGCGCCCAAGATCCGCAGGCCTGGGCGTCGTGAGAGAGCTAGGGCGGGCCCCACTGGGCCCTCGCAGGTCGATTGGGCTGCGGCAGGTTCGCGTCGTGCCGACCCGCGTTGCACGTGGTATCGCTCGGACGTGTGCACTTTTTCTCGGCGGAGATTACTCAGGAGCATCCTGGATCATCTTGCGAAAACCACGCACGAAACGAGCGACGGCCAGTGGACGTGGAACGCCGCCAGCGACCCAGAATCGGCCGTCGCTGAGGGATCCGACGCCTTGGAAACGGCCGCTTCTTCAAGGTTGAGCAATCCCCCGCGGTGTCAGGAACCAGCGCAGAAGGCGGCACTGCACGGCCTTGCCGCAGCGAGCGATCCCGCACGAAGACGGGGTCCCAGATGTCTGGTTGTGTTGTTGTTGCTGAGGCGCTGTGATTATCTTGCGACGTCGGTTCTCAGGGAGTATCAGTTGTGGCCTCCACCAGGGGAAGGTGGCCTTCGATCTTGGTGCGAGTGGTAATCTTGAGGCCATCTAAGAGGCCTGGAGATTACCGCCACCATCGAGATCAGGGGGCATCGGACCTCGGTGGAGGCGACCGCCAGTGCAGTGGAGGCCTATGCCAAGAAACACCCTGCGTGCCTCCAGGGTGCCCTGGGTGTCTTGCTTTTCGATGGTTCTGCTGTGGAGAGCGCAACGCTCCCGCACCAACAGAAGTCGATGGACGTCCTTAGGAGTCTCAGGGTTGGGCTTCTTGTGGAAGGTTTCTTGTGGAGTGGCCCCCACTGTACCGCCACTATCGAGACTTAAACCGGGCATGCCCCTCTACAGGAGGAAACATTCAAACTAGTGAAACAATAGTCAGGGGACGATTTTTTGAGTATGTCTGAACATGTGTTCGTATGCTTTTGATCGTTTCTAATGCGTCCTCCAAAATCCCCCTGTGAGGGGGATTTTGGAGGAGGAGGAGGAGGAGGGGGAGGAGGAGGAGGAGGAGGAAGAGGAGGAGGAGGAGAAGGAGGGTGAGGAGGAGGAGGAGGAGGAGGAGGAAGAGGAGGAGGAGGAGGAGGAGGAGGAGGCGGGTGCCCACCTCTCGGCCTGCGAACCTCCGCGTGTGCGACCCCCTCGGCCTCCTGGGGGGCACCTCGCCCCTGGAGAGGGCGCTGCGCGCGCTGGAGAGAGACCACCCACCAAACCATGGATCCGATTCGATTCGACTTCGACGGATTCCGATTCCGCTTCGACTCGACGTGGGATTCCGACTCGAGTTCCGACTTCTCACTGGACGCACAAAGGCCCGCCGACTTCCGCCGATTCGACCTTTTCCGACTCGGCTGCCGAGTTCCGCCGATCCGATTCGTGTCGATAGCCGATCCGACTTACCGATTCGATGCTGGGCTCTTCCCCACCTACCAAACCACCCCAACCCAACCCGAAGGCCTCAATTTGCCCTCCATTTCCAGTGGGGGGGGGGTCGGGGAACATCGAACAAAACACGTATGGGGAACCCATACCCCCCCCCCCCCAACCCGAAATTTGGGTCTTCAGGTTGGGTTGGGGTGGTCTGGTAGGTAGTCAGGAGAGAGACCACGTGTACCCGGGCTGCGGGGGCTACGAGATGGGCGTCGTCGTCGTGGACATCGGCCGCGGACGAAATCCGCCACGCACGATATAATATACACTGACGGCCTCCACGGGATTGTTCCTGGGCCTCAGGGGGGGGGGTGGCGGTGTACGAGTCACCACCGAGAGCCAGCGACTCTGATACACAGGGAGGCACTTGCAAGATTCGTCGGAGGATGTCTGTGTATCTGTTTTCGTGATGTGCGGAAGGGTCTTGGCGCTGATATGCTTCCCTCCGAGAAACAGCGGTGGCAACATCTCAGAATATGATTGTCGCTCCCTCGTGAGAGGCACCTTGCGCACTTTCTCAAGGCTGACCCACCCCCAGACTCGCCTTTTTTTGCCGCCGCCGAGGACAGTATTCGAGGGGGTGACACCCAGGGCTTTGCCAAGGGCGTCATGGACTCTTGGGGGGTTGGTAAGGCTGCTTGCAACAACGGAATCCTGCTGGCCATGGCAATCGAAGACCGCCAGCTCTTCATAGCGACCGGCCGGGGCGCGAAGGAGAACATCCCCAACAATGAGCTCGCGGCCATCGTGGACCGCATGAAGCCGCTCATGCAGTCGGGCAAATACGCCGGCGCTGCCGAGCAGTGCGTGTCGGACGTCGCTCGGGTGCTCAGTGGCGAGTCTTTTGCGCCCTCGCGTTGGCCTGCGGTCATTCGAGATGCTTCGCCTCCACCACCAGCCCCCCACGATGCTCTCGTGGTGTTGGGAGAGCCAAGACAGTTCGCAGCCGGCCCAACACGTATTGACGAGCCTGTTTTCCACCACCACCACCACCATGAGTTGGAGGGGGGAAGGAGGAGGAGGGCGAGAAGGAGGAGGACGAGGAGAAGAAGGAGGAGGAGGAGGAGGAGGAGGAGGAGGAAGACCCCCCCCCCTCCAACTTATGGTGGTGGCGGCGGAAAACACGCCCATCACGCACTGCGAACAGGCCTCCGAACGGCCGGACGTGAGGCCGAGAACAGCCCCATGAAGACGGCCCCAGAGGACATCGGGGGTCCCAGGCAGCCCCAAAGAGAGCCCCCAGGACGCCCTCCTCCTCCTCCTCCCCTCCTCCTCCTCCTCCTCCTCCTCCTCCTCCTCCTCCTCCTCCTCCCCCGAAGAGAGCCCGAGGATCCCTCAGGACGCCCGAAGAGAGCCCGACGAGAGCCTGGAGGAGCCCGCGGCCAGCGCGACGCCACAGACCGGTCGGCTCGGAGGCTGTCTTGGGCCCATCTTGGGCGACCTCTGGCAGCAAATCATGGGAGCCTGGTGTACCCTTTTGATTCCGTCCTCGGCGTCGACTGGCGCCGATTAGCGTCTGGGAGTCGACGAGACAGCGCCGATTTAGCTCGGCTGGCGTCGACACTAGCATTCGTACACTCTTCCGCCCACGCGTCCTGCCAGATGCGTGGCTCGGTGGTGGTGGTGGTGGTGACGCCCACTGGCGTCGATTTAGCGTCGATGAGCATCAGGTTCGCGTCGACCAGCGTCGACCCGCAAGAGCGGACAACGAGGGTCTGAGAGAGGCTCCCGTGATCTAGGTCTCTCAGATGGGGTCGGGGTAGATGGGGTCGGAGGATCGCGCCGCATCGCCGATACATCGGCGATGCGGCTCGATGTGGAGCCCGATTTCCTTCGCGCCGACGTCGCTGATGCATCGCCCGCGTCGACGATGCATCGCCAGTGCATCGCCGATGTATCGGCGATGCATCGCCGATGTATCGGCGATGCGGCGCGATCCTCCGACCCCATCTACTCCGACCCCATCTAGGAGGCCTCCACGTGAGCTGCCGCCGAGCGGAGGGCGCCCGCGGCCGGCCTGGCGACGCCGCAGACCCGTCGGGGCTCGCTGGCCGCCCGATGCCCCTTCGTGAGCGGCCCTTGCCGCCGTGCGCTCGCCTCGCCGCTCGCCTCGCCGCTCGCCTCGCCGCTCGCCTCGCCGCTCGCCTCGCCGCCGGGAGCGGGCCGCCTCGCCGCGCCGGGGCGCGAGCTCGGCGCCCTCGTCGGCGGCGAGGGGAGGCGCCGCGGCGGGGCCCACACCGGGCCTGCTCGGGACGGGGCCGATCGGGCGAGCGGTGCTGTGGAGTCGGGCCGGCCCCTCTATACAGGAGGAGCATCCAGGGATGACAAGCCAGAAGACAGTCTGGGGACGATATCTGCTTCTATTTCTAGACACGACGGGCCTTTTTGGGAGTTTTGTTTTGGTAGTTTTCGTCCGAGGTCCCGACCTCATCGAGAGGACATGGCCGACCTGATGGCAATGGGGAGTGACCTGAAGGGGGCCCTGTGGAGCCCCATTTTGGGGCCCCTGCCGGCTCCAGAAGGGACCCTCGAGTGCCCCTCGAGTTTTTTTTTGGGGGGGGGGTCGCGAGGCGCTCGCCCAGCCCGTGAGCGCGGAAGCAAAAAAAAACACCCCTGGGCCACCCCCAATTTGGGCCACCCCCAAGTTGGGCCACCCCCCATTTGGTACTCCGGATTTCGTAATATAAAGGGAGGGGGGTCTCATTTCGGGGGGGGGGTCTCTTCCAGGATATCTTGGAGGGCCTGGGGGGGTCTGGGGACGATGTTTTGGAGGGTTCTCCCACGGGGGGGGGTCTGAAATGGCTTGTCTTGGAGGGTCCAGACCCCCTCCCTTTTGTTACGAAATCTGGAGCAATCACCCGCCCGAGCCGAGGCACGAAGACCGCCGAGGCCCGCAGGTTTCTCTTGCCTGTCTGGCACGCTCCGCTTCCGCCTCGAGCCGGCTCCCAGAGGGGCCCAAGGGGCGGCCCCAAGGGACGGCCCCAAGGGACGGCCCCAAGGCCTTCCAGGCGGTCCCCAGCTCCCCCGAGGGGGCCCCACGAGGCCCTGAGGGGCCCCAGGATGG